ATTTTTTTATTTGACTTTCTTAATTGATATCATAGAGCATCTGAACACATTGAATCTAAGACTGCAGGCAAAAGGAAGGCTTGTGTGTGACATATTCTGCATTTTTGTGAAGCAATTTAGTGAAAGTAATTGTTCAAACTTCTCATGCTGCAACGAACTAAAATTTGAGAAGGGTAGGAATTGACATTTTAATGCTGAAAGACACATCAAAGCACTGAACCTGTTGCAGGTGGAATTCCAGAACAGATTCACTGATTGCCATAAGCATGGAAAGGAAATAAGAATGTTTCAGAATCCATTTGAAGTTGCACCAGAAGACACAAGTAACTTTTTTTCAGATGGAACTAATTGATTTGCAAGCTAGTGATCATCTTGGAGACATTCACAAAGAAACTAGCTTTACATTTCTATTTTGGCTACCTGATATATTTATCAAACTAAAGAAATTTGCTGCAGGCATGTTTACAGTCTTTGGCACCACATTATCTATGACAAACTTTTTCCAAGATGAAAACTGTGAAATCCAACTATAGGTCAAGGTTTTCAGATGAACATTTATATGAAATTTTAAGGGTGTCTATCACAAACCTTGACTTGGACATTAATGCCTTGGCTAACAGAAAACAGCCACAAAAATCACACTCACTAGATAAGCATGTTTAGCTAGATAAAGGGATTCCATAGTAAAATATTGTTCCAAAATGGGTTGCATTCAAGTTAACATTTCTTCATTGATGTCTGGAGAGAGTTTGTCCATTTGGAACTAATGCAGTTGAAGACCTAACCCATTACTTACTTGCCTGCCCAATTTATAAAGACTTAGGAGAAATTTTGTTCAAAGAGTTAGGTCTTCCATCTAATAGAACTGATCCATATCTGATAAATTTTCTACTAGGTGATAATGTGCCATATCTTTCTGAAAAGGCAGCTGGTTTCACTTTTAGAGCTATGGTTTTTAGGAGGATGTTTTGTAGTGATAATGATCAGATTTTATCTGTTGATTGAATTGTGTCCATGAGAATGTTTATTTTAGATGGTTTTAGATGAGTAATGTATTTGATTATTTTATATTATTCGAACTTCTTTTCTAATGGCTATGGCTACAGAAATAAATGTCTGTCTGTCTGTATGTCATTGATCTCTGAATGTTTACTTTTGATTTTGATTTAAGATGTGGTCGTAAGATCGAATCCATGCGACGGAGTGCTAAATCGGTAAATTAATAATTTTGTTACATTTCGATTTAAGATGTGGTCTCTTTAGGCACTGAGTGCTCTGATGCAGCCCTGATGTCCCAGATGTTCGGGGACTCTGGCACTGAGTGCTCTGATGCAACCCTGATGTCCCAGATGTTCGGGGACTCTGCTATACACGTTTATTTCAGGTAAATTTATTTACAATAGGCTTTAAAAAAAACCTAGGGATCAGCTTGTCCTTCTAGGTCCTGTACTTGTGTCTTCCAATTTGTAGATAAGTTTGATAATATTAGCTATTTTAGTTAATAACCCACTTGTTTTATATATTGTCTTATTATCTGTCTCTGGCATTCTATTAAATTATTTCCTTAGGGCACTGCTAGGTGGCTGTATGGTATATTTGTAGTGTGGTAGGAATGTAAACATATTTGCATGTACTTAGTTGACCTGGTAACACTGAACAGGGAGAAGTATTATGCCTTCCCCTGACTTACTTCCCTTGAAGAATTTCTAAGAGAATAATAACTTTAGTCTGCATTAAAAATGACAATCTTCTGGCACCTGACACTAACCAGTCCCCCCACTACATACACAATCTTTCATGGATTCTCACCCACTTCTTTAGATGCCTGGAATGTAGCCTCTGTAGGTCTTTCATGGATTCTCACCCACTTTAGATGCCTGGAATGTAGCCTCTGTAGAAGACATTTATACAAGCATGTCTGCTGACTGAAGCTGTGCTCCTTTGGTAGATAGGAAACTGCTAGGTAACTCAATATGGAGCCAAAGGTTGAGAGGTTGATTCCCCACTGTGCCTCCTTGAAAAGAGTTGGACTCGATGATCCATAGGGTCCATTCCAGTTCTGCAGTTCTAAGGTAATTATTATCATTATAGATAAGTCAATGGAAGCTTATGTCAGATAAAACTTGTAGACTTTATAGTGACACAAGACTCTTTATTGCATCTGTGTTGTGGCATTCTATCAATAAATGTCCAAAACATTTGTCACTTATGGTGTGCTGAAAGAGTTGGAGTTGATGATCCATAGGGTCCATTCCAGTTCTGCAGTTCTAAGGTAATTATTATCATTATAGATAAGTCAATGGAAGCTTATGTCAGATAAAACTTGTAGACTTTATAGTGACACAAGACTCTTTATTGCATCTGTGTTGTGGCATTCTATCAATAAATGTCCAAAACATTTGTCACTTATGGTGTGCTGACAAGGTTTTTAAGGGGCATTATAATAGTTGTAGGATGCCCACTGTGGTATAGTAGATAGAATGATGGGCTAGGACTTTGAACAGACTTCGAATCTGTGCTTGGCCATGGAAACTCACTGGGGGAGTGGAGCAGGTAAAACCGCTCCTTGAATAATTCACTTACCTTGAAAGCCCTAATAGGGTCACTATAAGTTGGTTCTGACTTGACAGCACACACACATAAGTTATTGCCATTTACTTAACTGATGGAATACTCTCTCTTTTTTGTTTTTGTTTTGAGAGTTTGTTGAGCAAATCTCAGAAATTCCCTTGATTCTGCAACTCTTGTGCTGATTTAAGAATGTAAGAACAGTAATGTTGGGTCATACCAAGGACCTGTCTAGGCCAACATCCTGTTCATCCCCTTGCCAGCCAGTTGTCCCTGGGAAGTAGTTCTGCGGAACATGAGTGAACCTGCCTCCTCCATTTTTACATCCCTCGGCAACTGATACACTGAAGCAGACTGCCTCTCACGCTGGAGGTGATAACATACGTAGATATCCTAACTATTCAGAACTGGCTCAAATCCACCCCCATACTTTCTAAAAAAAAAGTATTCTATTTAATTCATATGTCAAGGAACTTTTAATATAGTAACTTCTTTTGCTAACTTAATGCTGTATTTTTTTAAAAATCATGTTACTCTATATGGCTTATTTTAGAGAAAACTTGTCTAGCATGGTGGTTTTAGCATGAAATATGCTGTTAGAGTTCTTATCATAAGACACAGTTTGTGTGTTCTGTGCCATCAACTTCGTACTGACTCATAACAACCCTAATAAGGCTTTCAAGGTTAGTGAGAGTTCGTACTGACTCATAACAACCCTCATAAGGCTTTCAAGGTTAGTGAGATATTTCAGGAGTAGTTTTACCAGTTTAACTCCCCATCAGTTTCCATGGTTGAGTGGGGGTTTGAACCCTGTTCTGGAGAGTCCTAGTCCTATCTATTACACCACACTGAGAATCCTAGGGACACAGTTTACCTACCTAGAAATATACATCAATAATCCCCCCCCTTTTTTTCTGGTGCCACCACTGAAATAAAGGTGATACTGTTGAAGAGTTTCAGGTTTGCTGGTGATCAGGGTTATGCTGCTGGTCAAGTGAACCCAACTGACCTGGTTTTTGGGAAGACAGCACAATTAGAACTGAGGTAACAAAACTCCAACTATGATGCAGTCTGCATGATCAGTTTCTCATTGTGAATTCATATGCATATCAAAGAGAAAACAGTGTCCGTCTTTTACTTGGATTGTATGTTTGCTTGCAGATAGATGGTCTAGTATTATGTTGCAAGTGGAAGTGGCCACCACGTATTCCTCTGACAAGCCCTAAATGTTCAGCTTCTAAGTTCAGCCTTAGGGATAATTGCCAGAATGTTGGAGGACACGATTCTGAAAAAGTCAAATGACAAGAGGACAGGTTCTTGTCCCTGGCTACTGGGTTGTTTTTCACTGGCATTTTTCCCCGTGGTTAGTACTGCTTCACCATATATTTTCAGAAATGTAAATTATACATTTGGAGATTTTGGCTTGATGACTAAAAGAATAATAATCTAATAATAAAAGATTTGCTGAATATGTTCTTTCCTGCTTTTTATTAATGTTTGTGATATAAAACATAATGGCTCCATTCAGAGGTTTCTTCAGAACAGGCTTCTTTTCTCATGTGCTTCTTTCCGTTATGGCTCAAATACAGTAGAAATCTCAGACATTAACATGCTACTTTAGAATAAAATGTACATCCGAACTATACAGAACATGCCGAGCCTCTTACAAAATAGCTACAGAGTGCACAGAATTGATCCAAGAGAGAGGACAGGAGCTGCACTCTGCACTTCTAGACACAAGTGTGATAAGCTGAGGAAGGAGAGGAGGAAATGTGAAGGACTTAGATGAGAAAATAAGAAGGGAAGGAGGATGAAGGAACACAGCCTGGAGGATTTTCAGGGAACCATTCTTGCATTCTTCCTATTACGTAGAAAGTACATAGGAAACAAATCGTAGCATGTCTTGTGAGTCCATTGTTCTCTCATTGAGTCACAAGAATATTTTAATTCTGACCCCCTGTATAAGCATGGACTTACAGTTCACAAGATATACTAAGGATAGCCTGGGATGTAGCCACGTCAACATCTTCAGTTCACCATTACTGTATACCCATTCTCTAGCCTTGGTTTAACTTCTGTCATCTTGTTCTCACATGGTGATATTGTCTCAGCAAATAAAGCAGGATGGTGCTGGGGGGGGGACAAGTCTCTTGTCATGGGATGTGGTGATGGCACCTGGCCTAGATGGCTTTAAAAGGGGTTTGGATAGATTTCTAGAGGAAAAGCCCATCTCAGGTTACAAGACGTGATGGGGAAGGGACCTCAACATGCCAGATATAGCGGTGAGGTATCAGGAGACAGGTATCTAGTTGTCAGGAAGGGACCTCAACATGCCAGATACAGCGGAGAGGTATCAGGAGACAGGTACAGTATCTAGTTGTCCCGTGTGCTCCCAGAAGCATCTGGTGGGTACACTGAGAGATACAGGAAGCCATATCTCAACAGTGGCCACGCCAGATGCCTCTGGGAGCACACAAGAGAACTAGCTACTTGTCTTCTGATACCCTTGAGGTATGCTTTGCTTGTTCTCTTGCTGGCACCAGTACTTCAGAGGGTAGTACAGCTGAAAGAGAGGTGGAACTGCCATTCAAAACTCAGTCTGTATGGCAATGGTACTAGCTTTGGGCTTCTTGTACTGCCTGGGAGATATTCTCATGGCATAGGTTTAACCACCCTCCCCTCCCTCTTTTCATTCACAATATAATCTTCAGTGTTCCTTGTAATCCTATTTTTAGTGGCAAAAACAATAAATACCACCTGACTTTAGAAAGAGAGCTCTATACAGGCCTTGTTAAAGCATGAAGTCTTAATGAAGCATCTCCTTCCCTAGTGGCTAGGGGAGGGGTGACTTGTTTGCCATCCCAAATGTAAAACTCTCCAATACCTCTTTTCTGGGCTTTGATAATTAACAAACAGCATTTCAACCCCTCAGGCTATGAGCAGCGCTGAAATTAAATCCTTGCCTCAGGAAAAGAAGATTTGTTGGATTTGTGTCATGCAGAGGAAATGAAGCAAAATCAAAACACTTGTGCGTTGCTGGTCATAACTGGAAGTTTGTTGTATGCCAATACGCTTTCATCTGTAACAAAACAGGCTGGGGAATTATGTTGGGGAGATGTACAGAACTAAGCTGATAACCAAGTTAAGTCACCTCCAGCGAATAAATCCCATCGTCTTTCCCCAGCTTGATTTCTCTTTTTATCTTTTCTATTATATGCTTAGAATCTAGTCTTTGTCTTCTCATTAGCTGCTCTGCTAAAGGAGTTGTACATGTTTATTCATACATTTCAATTTTTACACTGTACACTGTCCTAAGAGTGCACTTTCCCAATACAGTAAATCATGTAATAATTGAAACATCTGTAATAAATAGAAGAACACACAGGTACCTTTAAAAAGATGTCCCTGTATATATCACATTCTCTCAAATATCTGTGTAAATTGAAAAGGCTTACAATATTTGTTTTTGGAGATTCAGTCACAGGTAGGCCCCTTATTTTATTTATTTATGTAAAATATTTTTTACCCTACATTTCTCCTTAAAGGTGTCCAAGGTAGCCTTTACTGAGAGGGAATTCCACACCACCAGCAGGGTGGGGGCCAATTCTAAAAAAGAGAAAAAAAGAAAAAGAAAAAAAGCCTACTATAGTAGTAATGAGTACTATTCAATTCAACTTCCCTCAAGATCACAGAGCCTTCATGGGTTAATGTGGGAAGAGACTTCATATATTAACACAAGCACCATGAAGTGAACCCAGCACCATGCTGCTCATATGTTAGAATGCAGCTGAGATTTTCACTACTTTTCATAGGACTCCTACTTCACTCAAACTAAGCTTGGGCCAAACATCCATTCAAAATCAAGACATAAGCCACCTATACAGATAAGAAATATTTAACTAGATGCAGTTGGCACACTAGTGACACTGTGCCTCCAGAAATGGAATCATACAACCTGGCAAAAACATGCATACTTTGAACAAGATGATAGACAAAACACAATCCTGAAGTATCTCACAGTGAAGAGATAACAAGATGTATTTCATTATAACCACCCACTGTGTTTTTCCTGCCAGGTATGAACAAAGTCAATAAAGGACAGCCCTATATATTTGACATGTTCTTCTCCCCATTAATTTCAAGATTTATATTAAAGAACAAATGTGGATGCAGAAGAACAAAATGAATAAAATTCCATGCATTTCAGCTTTTAACACAATCCTTTACATGCTTATTCACGAGTAAGTCTCACTGACAGTGGGGCTTACTTGTAAGTAGTTGGACATAAGCCTTAATTTAACTCTGTGTCTGTTTAGAAGCAGGCATAGTAAAGACCCCACTTTCCATGAGATTTTGATGATCACTGCAGGACAGTTTTTTAACAGAAGGAAGCTAAAATGTTTATATCGATGCGTCTTACGAATTGTGGCAATATGAATTTGCCTCCCAATAGTATAGCTTTCAACAATTTGGAAAGTACTACAAGATGTGATGAAAAGCAATTATGTCACCACTTGGAGTAACTTTCCCACACCAGAATTGTCAGGTTTATGCATCCTATACATTCTAAAATATAATTGAAAGCAAGAGGCCCTTGAGGACTTTCCTAACACTCTTCAATGTACTTAGTTAATAATAATCAAAATGAATAATGCTCAGACTATTCTTCACTTCCTTATTGAAAGCAGATGGATATCTCAGGATTAGAATGCTAGCTGACTGTAACTCTCTATGGTCTTATCATTATATTATGGGCCTGTGGAGAACACCTGACATAGCATCTATAGATGGAGAGGCAGATTATGTGAACAAAGAGAGTTCTGATGAAAGCTGACTTCTCTGATAGGTAGTTACCCAAGGGTGCAATAGTAGCATTTGATATTGTAGGTAGTGTCATTGGCATAAAATGTGAATATCCTGACAAATTCTAGTTTGCCCTTCTTCATAGCCCTCAATCCCATCTTCCAAAGGAAAGGCTTTTCATGAATTGAATATTCTCCAACTTTTCATTGTGTGCTGTAAGTTAAAACAGGTGCTTGGATCCAACAGGTAACTGAACTTCACAAATGGCAGATCTAGCACATAAGAACATCAGTTTCAAAACACCCTGCAGACAAAATTTTAAAATTCGTCCTTCTCCCTTTTTTGCTTTTGACAGTCTCAAAATCCAGGCATTTCAAACTGTGTTATGTTCAACGCTAAGAGTGTTTTTCAGCTTTTCAGTCCAAAATGTAAAGTAGGTCATAGTCTATTGTTCAACTGAAAAAGAGTGAGTCCACACAGAAAGTCTGTCTGAGCACAGATCTCTGTGTATAAAATGCTCTGTAAGCATAGTGTCCTCCTATATTCCATAGGAAAGTGTGTAATCCAAGAGAATTAGCCATTAGGTGCCGCAAGGTAGGTTAAAGTTTTTACTATACATGGCCACCTTTAGACAAATAAGCAATGAGTGCTACAATCACTCCAACATATACCCCTGTGCCGATGGTAATAGATAGTGCAGCAAGGAACAGAGCTCGCCGGGAAGCTGAGCTTGCCAGGTGGAAGTCCCCCTTGGAGATGGCCTTACTTGTCTAGAAACAAACAAAGCAAAACAGTACTTAAGTCATCTATCAATATATATACAGCATTTTTGGTAGTGAATAATTATCAACTATTTTTCAGCAAAGGAATGCTCTTGCCAACATCAAACTGTGTATGAGAGTGCAAATAAAATTAATCGAACTGTATTAGAGCAGCGTTCCCCAACCCCGGTCCGCAGCCTGGTGCCGGTCCATGGCGTGATCCAGACTGGGCTGCCGAGAGAGACCTCCCACTGCCCCACCCCCGCACACACGCACCCCGCGCCACCTGTTTGCGCCTGCACATGTGCTCTGGCATGCCCGCACAAGTGCCATGCTGCCATTTGCATATGCGTATGGGTGTGCACTGCCATTTGTGCATGTGGCGTGTGCTCACGTGCATATGCAAATGGTGGTGCGCACTCGTGTGGGACTGTGCACACCTGTGTGCATGCACGAATGGCACCGTGCCACCCATGTGGGCATGTGTGTGCCCATGCAAGAGTGGTGCACACTTGTTTGCACATGCGCACGAGCAACGGGGGTGTCCAGCCTTCCCCAGCCGGTCCACGGACCAAAAAAGGTTGGGGAATGCTGTATTAGAGGATTAGATTGAGAGCTATTGCGGTATATACAAAGGGCCTTTCCAGCAGCTGCCCCCAGACTATGGAACACCATCCCAATTGAGATTTGTCTGGTGCTGAGGCTCATGACATTTCTGCGCTAGGCCAAAACCTTCCTGTTCCAGAAGGCTTTTAATTGAAATAATATCAACTCTGGGTCCTGATGGCAAGTTTTAGAGTATATATTTTAAGTGCATTTTAATTGTTTTATTTTTTACTGTATTTTAATAGTTGTAAGCCGGCCAGAGACAGTACTGTGGGCAGTATATAGGTTAGTTAAATAAATAAATAAATAAATAAATAAATAAATAAATAAATAAATAAATAAATAAATAAATAAATAAATAAATAAATAGT